AAGTGTCCCTCAAGAAGATCGTTAGCTCTTACCCAAAGCTCAACTAGAAGCTAGAGCTACTTCGTCGCTACTTCTGTCCAAGGCTCGCTGTCACGCAACAACGACGTACCCAGTTTCTTGGTTGATAGTAGAAATTGACAAGGCTATCCGAATTGCAGATAAGGAAATCTTAAAACTGCCCCAGGTAGTATGTACCATAACTTCGAGGGGGGAACAGAAGCAGGGTATACCGAATCTAGTCGAAATGGCCTCCATGCAATCCTTAAAGAACGTCTGCAGAGAGGTGATGGACGAAACGCGTCCGGCTACCATCTAGTGAATTGTAACACCATTCAGAGCTTGGCAGCGAGAGTGGTGGCTAAAACAGGAGTAAAATGGCTGTCACTGGGTAAAATCGATCAGTGCCAGAAGAGCTACGCCGGGATTCACCAACCTACTCCAGCAGACTTATCAGGGACGGCCGTTAGTATTCAAACATGCCCAGGAATCCAATAAGTCGCTCACTGATGAAGACTGCAATCGGAGTACTCTGATAAACGAAATCAAACTGCAGAATGACCTCCTTCCAACCAATTCATTACATTCTGCTGGGAAAGTGTCAGCGATAGAGCCCAGTACCAGCCGGTTTAGATGATCTCAGAATCACGGTGACTCAAACCCAGAAACAACCGTATATCACTTTCATCTTCCATGATCGCTTCTCCTTTTGGGTCCCGGAGGCAGACGCTTCAGACAGTGCTTCGAACGATCCTAATTCTGTACAAGAGTCTGATCGGCGGAGCACAACCAGAGTCTATAACAGACTTCTTCCATTCATTTACTCCAGGTTAATCCCCGCCGTCCCTTAGGTATTCTGCCATTCAGTTAAGGAAATAATACTTGCTTAGTTTTCGTTTCAGGAGGCATTCGCAAAATGTATTCGAATCATCACAGCCGTCATTTCTCAATCTCTACACCAAAAAGCATCGGCTGCACACCAAGACACTGGCGGATTTCCGTATTTCGGATCACGTTGAGATGCGTAAGGCCAGCGACTCGTCTAAGAAAGCCCATTTCAGCAGCTTGTACCCGGGTTCGAAGTTT